CCACCCGACACACAGTATCGAGATTTAAATGTTCGATAAGGGAACTCGACGGGCACCCGAGGACTTTATCTCGCCAAGTACAATGGGTCATCGATTGACCGATTTGATTTCGACTACGGCGTGGCAATTTGGTCTTTTCTTTCAAATTGCAAAAATATACGAAACAACAACTTATTTGAACATATTAACCCTTTGCACTCCGAATTATATTTCAATTTTGTTACCAGCATCTCCCAACAAAAAACAAATTATTAATAATTATATGTAATTTTTAGTTTTATAATAAAAATTGACTATTGTGATATCTTAAAATGAAACACAATGAAATTCTTATGAAGTAGCCTTATGGTATGAAAAAAAGTTATTTATTAATAAGAAAAGTTAATTTTTAGCTGGATAATAAAAATTGACTATGGTGATATTTTAAAATGAAACACAATGATATTCTTATGAAATAGCCTTATGGTATAAAAAAAAGTTATTTATTCATAAGAAAAGTTAATTTTTAGCTGGATAATAAACATTGACTATAGTGATATTTTAAAATGAAATGACTCGATCTAGAACATTAACCCTTTGCACTCCGAATTATATTTCAATTTTGTTACCAGCATCTCCCAACAAAAAACAAATTATTAATAATTATATGTAATTTTTAGTTTTATAATAAAAATTGATTATTGTGATATCTTAAAATGAAACACAATGATATTCTTATGAAATAGCCTTATGGTATAAAAAAAAGTTATTTAATAATAAGAAAAGTTAATTTTTAGCTGGATAATAAACATTGACTATAGTGATATTTTAAAATGAAATGACTCGATCTAGAACATTAACCCTTTGCACTCCGAATTATATTTCAATTTTGTTACCAGCAGCTCCCAACGCCTTTAAGTGTTTTATTTCGAAATTTGCCTGTTAAAATAACTGTTTTATTTACACTGTTGTTGCATTTTGTAACTTTCAAGATATGTCCTTGATTTGGACTTGAAAAAATGTGGACTGGAACTCGACAAAGGAGTTCCTGGGATAAAAATTGATGTCGAATCACACTCGACGTAGGAGTGCAAAGGGTTACACGACACAGACGTCGCGTAAAGCTGATAAAAGGATACAATATACAAGATGTTCCGCCATCCCAGGAAAACATTTTAACGAGTGTTTCTGGAGGTCGAAATAAGACGAAAATCAAGAATACCAATTTGTTAATTGAAGCTTCGTTAAAGAAATAGTAACAAAATTGTTAATAAAACTTGTCCACCTATTCGAATTTTTTTCTCGACAGTGCTCAGGATTTCGGGGGTGTGTCTAATGACCAAAAATGATTGTAATTGACCCCCGAAACCGAAAATAATTTTTCCAGAACGATTTGAAATTTTTGAATTTTGTCGAAAAATTTTCTGGTCGGTATGGAACTTTAAATGTTAATAACTTTTTAACGAAGCCTCAATCAACAAATAGATATTCTTGATTTTCGTCTTATTTCGATCTTTAGAATGTCCCATTCAAGTTTTTCCCAGAGGTGGCCGAACACTAAGCCGCAGACTAAAGCTAGTTAATTTACAATTATCAAAACTCGTACGAACGACGAAAGAAATTCTCTTCTAGGCTTTCGATGTGGAGCCAATCTATTCCTTTTTCGAAAGTGCACGACAAAGTATTCCGTTCGTGGAAAGTTTCGCAGGGGTTTCGCTATTGCGTACGACGAACAGGACTTGGAGCATCGCGGAAAGAAAGGGCCGAGTAAACGAGTCGCGCGATCAGGGAGGACGGAAGGTCGCCATTTGTCAGGGGACCGCGGCAGAGAAGTCGAAAAACCGATGATGAATTTTCCAGTTTCGTGTTCCCTGCTCGCGTTCCCCCGAGTGCTGGGTCGGATCCGTGGAAAAAAAGTTTTCCCGCCGCCGTCGGGGCCAAAATGGCGCCTGGAACCGCGACACGAGGAGATCCGGACCCGTTGATCTCCCGGAAAAATTAATAATCAATGATTTTAAAAACATTCTTGAAGAAACGATTGCTCGTCCTGAGCTACGTTCACCTACTGGACTTGAATTTTTCAAGCAAACACCGACAAATAACAGTTCAACGCTAGAACTACCAAAGCAGTCAAAATGATTCGTTCGTAATTTCTAATAAAACTCTCCTTCTGCTATTTTGTTTACTTTTGTAACAGGAAACAAAGTTAAATGAAGAATTTATTTGTATCGAACGAAGCATTGAAGTAAATCTTCAATTTAAATAGAAGTAAATATTGAATTTAGGAAATCCAAGATACAGATTGCTTGGTAACTTACATCCTCTAATGAGGAGTCATCCTAAGTCAATCTTGAATTTATAAGTAATCCAAGAGCTAAATTGTTTGGTAACCTAAGTCCTTCAACAAATAGTCTCCTTAAGTAAATCTTGAATTCATAAGTAATCCAAGAGCCAGATTATTTAGTAACCTACCTCTTTCAATAAGGAGTCCCCTTAACACTAGAACATCCAAAGCGGTCAAAATGTTCGATTAGTAATTTCTAATAAAGCTTCTAAAAAATTTATTCGATCGAATCTTTGAAAACCGTAATTCTCTACGAGAGAATGAATAAACACCTATTTCCATTGCGCTATACATTTCTTCCCCTGTCTATCGTTTTAATTTCTTTGGTAAAAATAGGTACACTCTAATCCTCGGTAGTTCTAGTATTATTTCCGAGGTCTTTCAATCCCTGGTTAACGCAGATTCGTCGGAATCTGTGGTAGCTGGTCTGTCGAAACGTGTTCGGGAATGTTTCGTCAAGGTCCACGTATTTCTGCCAACGTCTCTTCCCATCGTCCGACGATGCACGTTTCCCGGTCGTTCCTTGGAAGAATCCATGGGCATTTCGTAGGCGTATCACGAAGCTGGTGATCGCGGTTGCGTCGCGCCGGTACCTGAGGACCTCGGGGCGAATCCGAAACCAGGTCGGACCGTTTTGTAATTGGCAATCGGCCTGATCCGCCAGTGAAAAGTCTGCCAGCTAGTTTCAGTCGTCGAACACTGCCAGGTCGAACCAATCGTTCGTTAGGTCGCGTTTGCCTAGACTCTGCACTATTCTCCGCTCCCTCTCGTGCCCTTTTTGTTCTCCCCCTCTACGCCCGGATCTTTCTCGCTCGTTTCGCGTTTACACGAGCGCACACGTCTCGCATTCGCGTTTTTGAATGGCCGGGGACAATTTGCTCGACGTCTACGTTTCATCAAACGTCTATTCGAACGAATTCCCCGATAAATTCACGACATTTATTCGCGCGGTCGTTGCTCGAGGCATTTGTCCTCGAGAACGAAGATACAAGCGTCGTGGAGTCAATTCACGGTAAAATCGTTTGCATTATTGATCGTGATCAAGGCTGGGATGAAAGGGACCCGCGATAATGACAATAGGGAACCATCGAAACATTGGCGTCGCATAATGGACAGGAAGACCCAAAAAGAGGCCCAAAATTAATTGTAGTAAAACTTTTCTTTTTTGTTAATTTTTACCGTTATCAAGGAATGTATTTAAATCATTAGGAACGTACGCGTTTATGTTCCTCTGGCATTATATTGACATACCATAATTCTTGAGTAAATAGTATACTAATAATAAAAATAGTAACACTTATGGAATATCGAGTTTCAGTATTACAATATTGTAGTACAAACATTCGTAATATTTAATGTAATATTAATTTAATTTAGTGTAATAGTTAAATATAATATAAAGCAAATGAAAATCTCACTGGGTGGACAAATTTTTTGACGAAATTAAAAAATTTTAAATCATTCTGGAAAAATTATTCTCGACAGCGGGGGTCAATTACAATCATTTTTGGTCAACAGACATACCCTCGAATTACTATCCACTTTCGAGAAAAAAATTCGAGAATGTGTGAAATTTTTTGACAAAATTAAAAAATTTCAAATCGTTCTGGAAAAATTATTTTCGGTTGCGGGGGTCAATTACAATTATTTTTGGTCAACAGACATACCCACGAAATCCTATCCATTTTCGAGAAAAAAATTCATTACCAAAAATATAATTTCAAGCCAGAAATGTCACTCCAAAATTTCTTACGTATTTTCAAAATGTCATAACTTCTGAACGGATTGAAGAATTTTAATGTTTAAAAATGCAAATAACGCGTATTTTAGTGAACAATATGTAGCAATTCTAAAAACATTGAAAGAGCTATTCCTTGACTCCGTAAAGTGCGAAAACCCCCATAAAAGTGGTCCAATTTTCAAACAGCCATAACTCGTACAATAGTGAATATATTTCAATAAAACTTTTTTCTGAAGTAGAGCTCATAGGTACCTACAAAAAGGTATTAGACAACTTTTCTATAGGGCATCAAACAAATTTATTAAAAACGAATTTTTAAGGAAAATCGACAAGGGGGTGCCTAAATTTTTCGGCGAAAAAAAAATTTCAAATTATTCTAGAAAAATTATTCTCCGTTGCAGGGGTCAATTACAATTATTTTTGGTGAACAGACATACCCTCGAAATCCTACGCACTTTCGAGAAAAAAAATTCTTTACCGAAAATATAATGTGTGGCCAGAAATGTTTCCGTAATTTCATTTTGTCTTAGTTTCACTTGTGGTCATTTTTGTAACCTGTTGATAATATCGCGAGTGACACGAAAATGGTAATGGGGCTCTAGAAAAATTGGGGAAAAATGGGAACCTCAGAAAAATGGGTCGAAAGAATACATTGGATGTAACGTTTACTCGTATACCTCGTTTTTATCACTTCATACGTATTATAGGTATAGTCCAATTACCTATTACTTATGCCGGATAATCGTAATTTTACTGTACAAGAATTCATACGCGAGAAACGAACGATTACACATATATTCAAGATGGCGGATCCCAGAATAACTCGGTTTATTTCTAATGAATATAGCGATTGTGTTATATCTTGTCGTGCTGTCAAAAGTGAAAAGTTACACAATAATAAAGTTTAATCAACGGTACTCTCCCTTATCATTGCAGAGGAGGACTACAGAGATAACAGTGGACAGTGGGGAACAGAGCGCTGTGTTCGTCCGTATTTCCGGTAAGTGAAACCACGTCCTATATTCGATCGAGTTGAATTTCTTTTAATCCTTTCTTTCGTATTTCGAAACCAAGACTCGATCGTTCGAGCAGCATCACTTTTCCTTTTGCAATTTAAATATCTGCTTGTTTACATTACGAACAGTACAACTGCATGTTAAAACAGTTATCGTTGTATTTATAGATATATTTATAAGAGAACAGTACAATAATTCGACATCGATGATCCGTTATATTTTAGTGTTAAATATTGAAAATTTTAAGTTCTATAATACGGTTTTCGAGTTGAAAGAAATCAATACTCTTGTTAAGTTACTTTTGTGCGAGGTTAATCCGCCATTTCAGGCCCATATAATTAGCGTTCCATTTCCTCGCAAAGCTCGTTCCGCTGGATCAGTTGCAGTCTGCGAGCTGTTCGAGCTTCTTTTGTTCTACTCGAAATACGGGGCTCCCTTGTCCGTTCAATCGCTCAACCTTTATCTCCGATGTGTTCATTATTTTTAAGACTGAATAATAATCTTCATTAACGATCCATTCCAGATAAGTCTCCATAAATTGACAGAAAATGCTTTTGCAAATCTGTTCGACGAGAAAGAGGGGCGACGTTCCTTTTTTTCTCCCCCCGGCGGCGTTAATAACACGCCACTTGACCCAACTATCAGCTCCTGCTGGACAGTTCTCATGCATAGATTTCTCATTCGTAGAACACATATGAGCCGGTTATTACGAAACCAACAAAACTCAGATTTTCATTCAAGATTTCATCGACTATATTTCATTATTACGAAGGAATTTTATATTGAATTCGCTGATATTAACACTGGAACTACCAAACCAGTCAAAATGACCCATTTGTAATTTCTAATGAAACCTGTAAAAAATTTACTCGACTGAGAATTTTTGGATCGTAATTTTCCATTGAATTTTACATTTCTTCACGCACCTGTCGTTTCAATTTCCTTTATACAAATAAACACACCTTAATTGTCGGTAGTTCTAGTGTTCCTCCAATACATTCTTATTCAAACTAACGAATCCATAAATGAAAACAGACATACTGTAAATCACTGTATTTCTCAAATCAAAGATATCAAATAGTAACAAGTGAGAAGAAAAACTCAATATCTTTGATAAATAAATAAAAGAAATAATTAAATATGATCAGAGTTGATCGTCCAGGCGATGATAACTGGATCTTTTACGCTGGATCGCGGAAACAAGAACGCATCGAAGGTGTTAATTTATGGTTTCTTCCACACCGTACCGACGCACCTAATGGACATTAATATAAATTCGTACCTCTATAAAATCGTTTCGTACAAAGCTCTTTATCGAACGCGTTCTATTTATTACGGTAGATCGCGCGCGCATAAAAAAAAAAAAAAAAAAAAAATCGTGAACTGAGTAAGTAAATACTTTTGCCGGCCAGTGGATGCGGTTGAAAAACAAACGAGGCGGAAAGGGAAACGAAGCGATAACCTCGATGAAATTTACGCGTCATAAAGTCTGCCGTTTTCTTTGACCGATAACACTCGCGGCTGCAATTAGGTTAATTAGACAGCGACAGTACGTAAACTCGTCACGACAACCCGCCGTTCGCTCGCGTTCTATTTCCAATCGCGATGGTTCGGGCTTTGTTTCTTGTTGTTTGGCTACCGGTGCCCCAAAACTTTCCGATAACGATACTGCAATCCGACTCGAACATGCAAATGTCGTCCACGCGCTTTCATCCGCGCCGTCGTTATCACGCGTATTCCGATTAAACGTAAATATCTGAAGTCAAGGTCACCCGAAAGTCATGGTATACCAGGTCGTTGAATTCGTTTCGAGTTATTCGCGCTGTTGTTATTACGAATCGCTTAATTACACTCAAATATCCATAGTCAAGGTCATCTGAAGATCACGATACGCTCTGGGATAAAAAGATAGCATATCTTATAATTTCACCCGTTTGGTATTGTAAACTGAGAAAAATGGATATTTTAATATGTTTGCATCGAAGGGCATGCGTATGTATAGTGGACTGAATATCATCCGCAGTATTTATTTCAACAGAACTCCAGGAATGAAAACATAAATATTTTGGTCTGCAAGCTGGACAAAATGATAGCACAAGAAGTAGATTTGCGATTCTTAGTTGTGTATAAGTTACTGAATAGCGAACATTCCTTATAAAACGTGGTTGATAACGTGTGTCCTATCGTTCTTCGTATTTATCTGATTAAAAAAAACGCAGTAAAGTGTTAAAAATGGGTCGTGGAAAAAAGCTAAATGAATGAAAAATACATACGATATTGATGTTATAGAAAGAACAATATTCAATTGCACAAATATCGAAAGTTGTAAATAGAAGTCATATAGTTATTATGAACTTATTATAAAATCCCGAAAATTACGGAACAAATAAGAGTTCTGGTCGTCCACGAAGTTTAAGTACTCGCGAAAGACGTGCAATATTGAGAACAGCATCAAATTCAAGGATGACTGCGAGACAAATTGCAGAAAGTGCTGGTGTAAACACTGATGTAAAGAATGTGCATCGTGTTTTACAAAAATGTAAGCATTTAGTGCGAAGGAAATTGCAGAAGAAACCTTGGTTAAAGGAAGAGCATAAAGTATTTGGCTTACGGTTTGCAGAAAAGCATATAAATATGACAATAAAGTGGAAAAGAGTCATGTTTACCGAGTGAGGAAGATTTAATTTGGATGGACCAGACGGCTTAAGTTATTACTATCAAGATTTGAGAATAGAACAGCAATTTTTAAGTCGTCGCCAAATGGGAGACAGCAGCGTAATGATTTGGCCCGGCGTTGGATACTACGGTAAAACCGAAATAAAATTTATAAAAGGGCGAATGAATAGTGAACGATATATTGAAATGATAAATGAACAACTAAACACATATGCTGTAAGAATTGCTGGAAACAAATACATTTTACAACAAGATAATGCCGTAATTCACATGGCGAAAGCGTTAAAGAATTACTTTTCTTTACAAAGCATTCGTACTTTGGATTGGCCAGCAAGATCACCCGACCACAACATTATTGAAAATTGTTGGGGACATCTTGCCAGAACCGTATACCAAAATGGCAGACAATTTCAAAATATTAACGATTTAAAACAGTGCATTTTGGACGAGTGGGAGAATATTAGCCAAAAAAATATTAAACAATCTTATAAATCTTTACCAAACAGATTGATTGAAATTATTAGATGCAAAGGAGGTTCTACAAAATATCAAGCATTCATTTATATTCATTAACTGTTTTATGCTTAATGTTTCTCGTCAAGTGTGCTATCATTTTGTCCCTCTATATCTTATCAATAATCGTATTTCTTTAAATAAAAATAGATAGATTAAGGAGGGTTCGTTTCATTTTATTCTGTTAGAGATATTACAATGCTATTCTTCTTGTATCTGTGCCTGTGTATGGAAGAGGAGTGGATGGGTGGTGCCATCTATGAAGCTTATAAAAGCGTGGGGACAAAGGAAAGGGGAACCCCGGTTTTAAGTTGACTATGAGAACGCATGGCAGAGAGTAAAAGTGTTAAAATTAAAAGTATACTGTTCAATTATAAATCTAGTCTTGTTATTGGCCAAAGAAACAACATATTCATATGTATCAACAAGAGCAGTCTGAAGTATATGCACACAAAAAGCTGAATTTGTAATGTTTAATAAACGAAAATTACAATAATTTGGAAGTGTGCTATCTTTTTGTCCCGGAGCTGCAGTAATTTGAAGGGAAAGCAATATGCAATACCATTTGAAATATTGAAGGTGACCTTGACTTTTTATTGTAAACAAATCCCCCTCCCCCCGCCAAAGAGAACGAACAAGGTAACGTGTATTCTATCAATCAGAAATCAGACGGATTTTACTAGTCTGGATAGTACCCCTCCGCTACCATAATTTAATATCGCTAGTGCTAGTCCAACAAGTAAGTAAGATATAATAACGACGAGTAGGATGCAGAGATTATTGAGATGAGTCGTAACACGAGAGTTGTGACAAGCTTAATGCGTTTACACAAGAAGGTTGAGGCGTTCGTGACCGTCGCCATGCTTAATTCCCGCAGGACTGGCAAGCTGCTTTTGACTAACTATAAGTATCACTTCCACGCCATGTGTACCGAAAACGGTACACCCTATACATGTTTCTCCCCTTTGCATATAAGGAAATTTATTCGTTTCCTCAATATTTAAAAAAATAATTTTCACGACACAGCAAACAAATAAATTCATTCATAAATACGAGAATAATAACAGAAGAAATAGTAAAACAAAATACAAGAAAGTACAAAGTAAATAATATTTTTTATTTGTAATTTCAAGACACAACGATTGCAAAATTTTACCACCATTTTTTCTTTTTTTTAATTGAATGGACTGATAACTGATTGCCGTCATTAGCACACGGCTTAACAGATGTTCGAAAAATTATTATTGTTTACTTCTTTATTTTTTTTTTTTTTTTTTTTTTAATGAGAAAAATTATCATTTGGCATTGAAACGAGTTGCAGCGTATACCGAAAATTGTGCACGTGGCAGTGAACGTGTTAATTAACTGCATGGCGTGTATGGGGTACAACTATAGTCGGCGATGCAACTATTTTCAGCTGCGTCGATTACGATCGTCTATAAACAACAACGGTAATAATAACGGATCGGCCCCGTTGGCAGCGAGTTAGAACATCGGGATCAGAGGCTCCGTAGTTTAAAACACGTGATGGTAGGTTGCTTGTGCAACGATCGCGTCTAATTGCGGTCGATTTTAAGGTTGGCCACTTTTAAACGATCTATGATAAATAATAAACACGGTAAATCGTAAGTCGAATCGCGTACGCTGACAATGATTAACGCGCAGATACACACATATGTAGGCTCCTGTTGCCCAACCGTAATTAAGTACAAACAAAAACGGCCGGGATATGCATGAACATAATAAATTATCGCAACTCGTAAACCTGTCGTTGGGTATTAATGCAGTGTAGCGGGAAACGATGCTCTTTAAATAAAAATATCTCGTGAACGAAGGTTCGTTGCGAAGAAACCTATCTAGGGTTTTTTGGTATTGCGTAGTTTCCAGTACTGTCCCCTTAGAAGGGCTCGATCGAGTGTTAGCATAATTTTTTGTTTCGCGAAGAAGATTGTTGTCCATGACGACATTTTACCCCCTTTGGCACGCAATAACCTCACTTTGTGTAGCCTGGTCGTTTGTTCTAAAAAACATCGACGATACTGCGCCGTGGAAGCAACGCACAAGTGTTTGGATCGGCTACGAAACCGTCAAGAGACGCATACTTATCGTCCGAAGAGAAAAAGTTTTCCCTGGCAATTACGCGTTTGCGTAATGATGTCTCAGTTAGAAAGCATTGTCAGACAGTATCGTTGCGACACGGTGCTGAATGTACGCCACTTGATACGTGCATCTTGTCTCGTTAATAATTTCTGTTGCGCAATTCGTGGGGTACTTGGTTGCGACATCGTATTATTCGGCGTTATGGCGTGTACGACGATGCGTGATTATGTGATTACAGTGTTTTTTTTTTTTTTTTGCTTTTGCATGCAAATGCGCGCACGTGACATAAATGCCTATGACACACTTGAACAGCATTTCGTTTCTATTAATGGTGAATTAAGTGGGAGAAGTAGCTCGTTGTTAAGTTCCTTATTAAGACCGTCGTTACGCTGTTCGTGACTGTTTGGTTAGAAATGATTTTTACCTCGCTTGCAGGCGACAAAAAGAAAAATTCTGTCATTTTCGTGTATTCGGTGTGCCAAGTGATTCAATTCGATCGTGTCGTAGGCTTTCGCGATGTCTAAACAGACAACGGTTCGATTTATGTTATGTGTGTCCAGTAATTTGATAATTATTCAGGAACGAATCTGGTGATTTTATTGTTTCTGAAGTAAAATCGAAAATCGAAATCGTGTCGTAGGCTTTCGCAATATCTAAACAGACAACGGTTCGATTTAGGTTATGTGTGTCCAGTAATTTAATTCGATGATTATTCAGGAACGAATCTAGTGATTTTATTGTTTCTGAAGTAAAATTGAAAATCGAAATCATGTCGTAGACTACACGGTGTCTGAGTAGACAACAGTTCGATTTAGGTTATGTGTATCAAGTAATTTAATTTAATGATTATTCAGGAACGAATCTGGTCATTTCGAATGCTTCTGAAGTAAAATCGAAAATCGAAATGGTGTCGTAGGCTTTCGCGATATCTAAGCAGACAACGGTTCGATTTAGTTTATGTGTGTCTAGTAATTTAATTCCATGATTATTGAGGAACGAATCTGGTGATTTTTATTATTTCCGAAATAAAATTGAAAGTCGTAGATTACACGGTGTCTGAGCAGACAACAGTTTGAGTTAGGTTATTAAGAGAATAATATTGTTTTAAATCTGGTTACAGAAAGCGCAGCGTTACCGACATCGGGAGTACCAGCGACTTTGACGGAAGTCCACGATGAGCCGCCAACGGAAACTGCGTTCAGACGTTTATCGGAGGCGGATCGAATCCTCCTGGAGAGTTTGGACATCGGTCGTTCCAGACCCAGGCCCACCGGTCGTTTCCTGACGATGCACAAGAGACGCCGTAAGAGGATTACTACGAAATCCTTAACTCAGGAGCCGGGTCTCCTGGATGATATTTTCCATGGCATGGTTCAGGTAAGCTTTTGATCGTCGTCTATAAATTGCATGCCTTCTCGCGGGAAAACCATTTCCTAATATGTACTAGAGATAGCGTGGACTGCTACTTTCGAATCACTCGTGATTCGATCACGTTCATTCCCAATCATGGTCATTTTTCACAGTGATTCCGTGATTCCTCGTGATCGCTTTCGATTGGCGGGGAGCGTTCTTTTCACTTTTCACGAATTATTTCCTTGGACTGTATATGTATTATATTATAATATGGTCTAAAAGCAATGTTAACGCAATTTTTTTATTAGAAGAAAGGAAAGAAAAAATTAAAAATAAATTTTGAAACAAAATTGTTGTCAGCCATTTTCAAGATAAAGTAAATAAAAAAATTTGATCAAGGCAAAGAAATGTTGACCGTTGGAGTTATGCCATAAATTGCATAAATTACCATCGATTGCCGCTTAATTATAATGAGTGTTTTGCGTTCGCTACCGAATAAAATAAATAAATAATGACGGAAGTTATATACTGTGTAAACAGTGTTCCGGCAACATCGAGCATACTTATCAGTTCCTGGAATTCCAAGATGCGCAAGGTCGCAATAGTTTGATATTGCATCGCGTACGCCTTCATTCTGTCGTTCTTATTGACATTTGTTTCGAAACAGGAAGTCGAACCATCAACGTGCAGAGTGGATGATGGTCGTAAATCATAAAGAAACATCGAACTGTTAGAAAACGTGTCCCGATTCGCGACTTATCGACTTTATAATCGGTACCCAGATATCGATTATCGTTACAGTACCATTTATTTAGCCGTTAAAAAGTTGAGTTACGATGAAACTTTTCTGGTAATTTGATGGTCAGTTTATTGTTTACCAAAATTCAGTGGTATTTCTTTTCATCCGTTTACGCAACACCTCCAGATTCGAGTAAAAATCGGTTAATTAACATCGGTAGCTGATCGGATGGATAAAATTCGAACTGGTTAAGGGACTTAAACTGTTAGGTAATCAAAGCGGAAAACCGATGATAGTGGTCGAACGGTCAGTACCTTTGAGCGATTTACTCGGTTAAATGCTAATACGACATTATGGGTCAGAAATGATCGTGACCGTGTATGAAAGTCACTGATTTTGTTTAGAAATAAATTTGTACGTTGGTGGGTCCACGTGTTCGCATAACAAAGCAAACATATTTATATAATGGGCATGTATACGCGGCATATTATACGTACACTCCCGGGACAAAAACATAGCACACTTCCAAAGTAATGTAATTTCTGTTTACAAATTCAGCTTTTTGTGTGCATATACTTCAGACTGCTCTTGTTGATACATATGAATATGTTGTTTCTTTGGCCAATAACAAGACTAGATTTATAATTGAACTTTATATTCAGCTTTTCGTATGCATCTATTTCAGACTGCTCTTGTTGATACATATGAATATGTTGTTTCTTTGGCCAATAACAAGACTAGATTTATAATTGAACTTTATATTCTATTTAGTTTTAATATTATAGGCTGTTTTATACAGATACAGTATACTTTTAATTTTAACACTTTTACTATCTGCCATGCGTTCTCACAGTCAACTTAAAACCGGGGTTCCCCTTTCCTTTGTCCCCACGCTTTTATAAGCTTCCTAGATGGCACCACCCATCCACTCCTCTTCCATACACAGGCACAGATACAAGAAGAATACCATTGTAATATCTCTAACAGAATAAAATGACACGAACCCTCCTTAATCTATCTATTTTTATTTAAAGAAATACAATTATTGATAAGAGGGACAAAATGATAGCACACTTGACGAAAAACTTTAAGCATGAAACAATTAATGAATATAAATGAATGCTTGATATTTTGTAGAACCTCCTTTGCATCTAATAATTTCGATCAATCTGTTTGGTAAAGATTTATACGATTGTTTAATATTTTTTTGGCTAATATTCTCCCACTCGTCCAAAAGCCACTGTTTTAAATCGTTAATATTTTGAAATTGTCTGCCATTTTGGTATACGGTTCTGGCAAGATGTCCCCAACAATTTTCAATAGTGTTGTGGTCGGGTGATCTTGTTGGTCAATCCAAAGTACGAATGTTTTGTAAAGAAAAGTATTTCTTTAACGCTTTCGCCATGTGAATTACGGCATTATCTTGTTGTAAAATGTATTTGTTTCCAGCAATTCTTACAGCATATGTGTTTAGTTGTTCATTTATCATTTCAATATATCGTTCACTATTCATTCGCACTTTTATAAATTTTATTTCGGTTTTACCGTAGTATCCAATACCGGGGCAAATCATTGCGCTGCCGTCTCCCATTTGGCGACGACTTAAAAATTGCTGTTCTTTTCTCAAATCATGATAGTAATAACCTAAGCCGTCTGGTCCATCCAAATTAAATCTTCTTTCCTCGGTAAACATGACTCTTATCCACTTTGTTGTCATATTTATATGCTTTTCTGCAAACTATAAGCCAAATACTTTATGCTCTTCCTTTAACCAAGGTTTCTTCTGCAATTTCCTTCGCACTAAATGCTTACATTTTTGTAAAACACGATGCCACATTCTTTACATCAGTGTTTACACCAGCACTTTCTGCAATTTGTCTCGCAGTCATCCTTGAATTTGATGCTGTTCTCAATATTGCACGTCTTTCGCGAGTACTTAAACTTCGTGGACGACCAGAACTTATTTGTTCCGTAATTTTCGGGATTTTATAATAAGTTCATAATAACCATACGACTTCTATTTACAACTTTCGATATTTGTGCAATTGAATATTGTTCTTTCTATAACATCAATATCGTATGTATTTCTCATTCATTTAGCTTTTTTCCACGACCCATTTTTAACACTTTACTGCGTTTTTTTTAATCAGATAAATACGAAGAACGATAGGACACACGTTATCAACCACGTTTTATAAGGAATGTTCGCTATTCAGTAACTTATACACAACTAAGAATCGCAAATCTACTACTTGTGCTATCATTTCGTCCCGCTTGCAGACCAAAATATTTATGTTTTCATTCCTGGAGTTCTGTTGAAATAAATACTGCGGATGATATTTAGTAAATTATACATGTAAACATGCCCTTCGATGTAAACATATTAAAATATCCATTTTTTTCAGTTTATAATACCAAACGGGAAAAATTATATGCTATCTTTTTGTTGATTTCATATTAAGTTCATTGCCATAACAGGCATATATTTTATGTGCTTTCATAGCAAAAACATATATGTACACGCTTGATCGTTAATTGAAATAAATTTTTATAGGAATTTCGAACGAGACAAATTTATTTTTCGGTGTTTCAATCTGTATTCTAGAATTTCATTAAAACCTGTTTTTTTTTCTTTTTTTTTTTAAATTTATCAAATATTTATATCTACATTTTTTACAAGGAAAACTCAGTGATATATCACAATTCAGAAATAAATCTACCATTATGATTTAAAGTGTAGATTCAATTTTGGCTACGTTCAAGAATTTTAATTGATCCATTAAAATCTAATCGACTAGAGAACCTACATCTCTTTTAAAAACGTCCTAATTCTCTTTTCAGAGAGACGTCGTTCTACAGAAAATTTATAATTATAAATTAATTCCACATTCTATTCGTTCATGAAATTATTTGTTAAAAAAAAAAAGTGTACGACGTAACACGGTATAAATTTAATAAATATTATATAGTTAGCGTTACATGTATATTCGAGGGATCAATATTTCATTTTGTGCTTAATGGAAGAAGGGTACATTTAGGAGCAGACCCATCGAAGCTTCAATCTGTTCATGCTTCTAAAGTTAAAGAAGATGGAAGCTTAATAATATTACACGGTCCATTTGAAGTTTCTATCTAGACGTTCGTCAAGTTCCATTTTTCGTAAACGATTATAGACATACTGATCGCGAACGTTTTATTATTAATTCTTGCCTTGGAAACGTTCTTGTCCAGTGAAAATTGCAAGTTCTATTCTTCTCTGCACGCATTTCTATTCTGTTCGCAATGGGGGCAAATGTACCCATTATTTCGGAATTTTTTTCTATTAAAATTAAAAAAAAAATTTGCACAATACGGTGAGAATCGAAAAATTTGCACAATTCGGTTGTTTTACCGCCCAAATGTAAAAATATTGTCGAGTCGATGGTAAAAAAAAAAATCACAATCCAAATTATGAATAAAAGCATACGTCGATGACTACGTATCGTAAACGTTGAAGATAAATGGTTACACGGAGGTTTTCATCGTCCTCTGTTATTCGAATGAAATATTCCTCGTCTTCGCTGAACAACAGGGGGTCCGATTTACAATCCGTTAGCGAGAGGATATTCCTCTCTGTATAAAGACATCATTGAGAATTTGCAAATGAAGCACGTGTCATTGGAAGCGGAGGTCTTCCGTTTGAGACAAAAGCAGATCATTGATAAAAGACCGACGTTTACATAAGAGGTCAAGCGTGGGCTATGCAGCGAGGACGTAATACTACGTCATTGGCTTTCAACTTCAAGAAATAAAAGAACCTGGTTCTACGTCATTAGCTGTAAAAAAAACGTAAACCTACGTCATTCGACCCCAGGACTAGGACAATGACTAAAACCGTTTTCTGAAGTCGACATTGTTTTTTTTTTTTTCTTTTACTATTATCGATCCATTTAATTTGTCTATTTTATAATTTCAGATTCGTTATTTTTTAACGTTACATCATTGATTATTATTGATTTTGTCTATTATATTCTGTTTTAGTGTAAATTGGACTTCTATTTTATAATTTTAGATTCGTTACGTTTTAACGTTACATTATCGATTATTATTGATTAAGTTTGTTATATTAAATTTTAGTGTAAATTGGACTTACATCGTGTTTAGAAAAACCAATGCATATACAGGGTGTTCGACTAATCTTGGGAAAAATTTTAATGGGAGATTCTAGAGGCCAAAATAAGACGAAAATGAAGAATACCAATTTGTTGATCGAGGCTACGTTAAAAAGTTATTAACGTTTAAAGTTTCGCTCGTAGAATGGCGATTTGCGAACAGCTGCGCGCGCACGCGATAGTAGTTCGCGAGAGTAATCCTTACATTCAATGTATTTTTTCGGCACAAATGTGCTCTAGAGCTCCATTAATACGCCTTGTTTGCATTTTGAAACATTAAAATCCTTCAATCCGTCCAGAAGTTATGATTTTTTCAACATACGCATGAAATTTTGTGGAAACATTTCTGGCCACACAGTATATCTTTGGTAAAGAATTTTTTTCTCGAAAATGGTTAGGATTTCGAGGATATGTCTATTGACCAAAAATTATTGTAATTGACTCCTGTAATCGAAAATAATTTTTCCAGAGTAATTTGAAATTTTTCAATTTCGCCAAAAAATTCAAGCACCTTCCTGAATTTTTTTCTCGAAAGTGCGTAGAATTTCGGGGGTATGTGTATTCACCAAAAACAGTTGTATTTGACCCCAGAACCTAGAAATAATTTTTTTAGAACGATTCGAAACTTTTTAATTTCGTCGAAATTTGTCTTCGTCGATTTTTCTTAAAAATTTGTGTTTATTTTTAATAAATTGGTTTGAGGCTCTACGGAAATGTTGTTTAATACTTTTTTGTAGGTATCCATGAGCTCTACTTTAAAAATAAATTTCAATGGAATCCATTGACTATTGTAAGAGTTATGGTCGTTTGAGAATTTGACCACCTATTCAAATATTTTTCTCGAAATTGCGTAGGATTTCGGGGGTATGTCTATTCACCAAAAATTACTGTAATTGACCCCCGCAGCCGAATATAATTTTTTCAGAATGATTTCAAAATTTTCAATTTCGCCAAAAAATTTAAGCGCCTTCCTGAATTTTTTTCTCAAAACTGCGTAGGATTTCGGGGGTATGTCTATTCACCAAAAATTACTGTAATTGACACCCGCAGCCGAATATAATTTTTTCAGAATGATTTCAAAATTTTCAATTTCGCCAAAAAATTTAAGCGCCTTCCTGAATTTTTTTCTCAAAACTGCGTAGGATTTCGGGGGTATGTCTATTCACCAAAAATTATTGTAATTGACCCCCGCAACTGGATATATTTTTTTCAAAACGATTTGGAATCTGTTAATTTTATCGAAAAATTTGTCCACCTACTCGAATTTTTTTCTCGAAAATGCGTAGGATTTCGGGGATATGTTTATTTACCAAAAATGATTGTAATTGACCCCTGCAACCGAAAATAATTTTTCCAGAATGATTTGATATTTTTTAATTTAATTTTTTAATAACTTTTTAACGAAGCCTCGGTCAACAAATTGGTATTCTTAATTTTCGTCTTATTTTGTCTAAAATTTTTCCCAGAGTTGGTCGAACACCCTGTATAAAAGATTATATTCTATTTAACGATAATTAAATCGCACAGTCTCATTCGTGTCCATCTAATAAATAAATTACGACTTATTATCGATCTTGAACAAGTTATTTTTATTTACGTGTTATGTAATGTACAAATATAATTGTTTGACATCCGGATTTTTATGCAAGTTCATATTTTTAGAATCAATGAAACGCTTTGTAGAGGGTTGTCTCAACCCCTAAATATAATAAATCGTATTTTTTATATTTTTGCACGTTAAATGCATTCTATAGTTTTTCAAAAATTAAAATTTCACATAAATGCAGAAACATCCACAGTTTAATAATCATACAATAATTTTATATCCGTATTTGGGACTAACGATCAATCGTAGATATTCGTTCAGTGTTATTCGCTCGAACAGTAGCAAAGCAATTTGACAGTCCTCTGACGTGTTAATTAACGAGGGCATAATGTCGTCGATAATCGTTTAAATTATAACTAAAGACTTTGATTAGCAAGACCGTGTCACGGAGTCTGAATGATTTATTGTATACCCCGAGAAATGGATGTGCTCGTTCTATTACAATACCATTGTGCTCGGTAACACGTTTCGACCCTTTCTACCCAGCGAAACTGTCCATTTCGCTGTCGCTGATCTATTGTGCCTTGATGATTTGTTGCAGTGCGTGCTACAAAAGGCCGGAAACTGGCAGTTTAATGCGTTTACGCTAGAAACAGTGACAGGAGGTAAGTAACTATGAAAAATTACATTAACATTTTACTACACCGGCTCGTTCAATCGCGTTACATTATATTGTAACAGAGACAACGTAGTCGCGTTCGATACACGTTATCCAAGGTGTCCCATGAATGTCCCACCTACCCTAACAAATTAAAACAAATTACAAATTTCTTAACACGAAGTTTGTATGCAATAAGCATAAGATTTACTTGCTTCTCGATACAATTTCTTGCTACAATTATACATTTGTCTCATTGATGTACTAATTATAATCAACAGCAAATAATCTCTTGTCTCGAAGTTCGATCTAATTTTGGACATTTTCCTTCGTTGCTGTGAAACTCGACCGCTCGAAGGGACCGAATGAAAAGAAATCCGATGGGACAAGATTTGAAATCCTTCGTCTCGCAATAGTCTCGCGTTACCATTATACTTCGTTCGCGAGTTCCAATTTCGCGACACACTAGCTTAGTTTACACCTCGTGTCCGCCTCTGCCGCGATTATGGAACATGCAAAACGCAAGGAATGCATACAAAGTGTCCCGTGACTGTCGATGAAACCTAAAATCCATGTACAACGTATTTACCTTTAATACAGTTTTTTTATTCGTTACATTTATATTTGAAAATATAGAAACTTTTTAAAAACTATCCCACTATCTAGATCAAAGTTAATTTAACATTTTACAACCTTGTTGAACATTCGTAAGTCCTATCTTTTATTTTCTTTAGCAACCCACATTGAGATTTAATATGCATGAGACACCTTAGTGAACGTGTCAACGAACAATACTCGTAGTCTTTTGTTCTTGAACCTGTTCCCCAGATTATCTACAGAATTCCATCACCATTATACGCTCGAATTTGATTTTCAGGTCGTTCACTGCCAGTATTATGCGTCCATCTTTTTCATTGGTACGGACTACTGCAACACTTTAAGTTGGACGTGGTAACGGTGTGGAAATTGTTCGGTAAGGGCGCACAGAAACCTGTAAAAAGAACTACGAATGAAACGGATGCTGTGATAAGATCCAAACACAATCAGGAAACCGCTTGGAGTACTTAATTTTACAAATTTTTGTAAAATAGTAATTACATCAAAGCATTTTACATCTACATGTAGGAAATGAACCTCACAATGAAAATCGTCCATCTAGTTACAAACCAAAACTTTAAACACTGATTATAAAAAGATTTATTTCTAATATTTTGTTGGGTTTCCTTTTCTGTTCTCCACTTCTCTAAGCCTATTATTAGTAGATTTAACTAATTTTTCGGTATCTTCAGAAGAAATATTATTCCATTCTATTTTCAACGCTTCTTTTAATTGTTCTTTGTTTGTTATGAAATGTTGCAGAATTTTGGTCTCTAATTTGTACCATATATGCTCAGTAACATTTAAATATGGCGACTGGGGTGGTGTTTTAATTACCTTTGGGCAATTATAGTAGAGTAACCATTCCTGAACGATTGCAGACTTATACTTAAGCTCGTTGTCCTTGATAAAAATGGAATGTATTCAGAATACCTTATTTTTTCAGTATTTTCTTTCAAATTCTTCCTTATAATATATAAGTACATCCATCTGTCCATATTTACTGCAATAAAATGTAATGTACCGACACCATTGGCCTGCCACTCAGCTTCAATCCATGGCAGAACCGCCGCCATTTTTAACTGTGGGGCTGATATTCTTTACATTCAATTCTGTGTTCGGTTTCCTCCAGACTGTGACCCTCCCACCTGAACCGAAAATAAGAAATTGACTTTCGTCTGCAAAAAGAGTAACTTTTGAACCATTAAAGATGTCAGAGTGGAATTTGTACAGAAATATATTACAAAATTCACTCGTCTTAATAATGTGTAGAATATTTTGTAATTACGTTTACTATGTCTAATTAATTTTATATTTATGTTTATTTAACTGGTCTCTGCAGTGTTTTAAATGTAATTGTCTCACAAAAATAAGCAAGAAGTCTATTCCTTATTTGATGTATATTATTTTCTTAGACGACTTATATTGAAAAACATTTAGTTTTTGGATTATATAGAAATGTACAGGGTGTAGAGGCCAAAATAAGACGAAAATCAAGAATACCAATTTCTCGATTGAGGCTTCGTTAAAAAGTTATTAACTTTTAAAGTTCCGTCCATACTGAATTTTTTTCTCGAAAATGCGCAAGATTTCGGGGGTATGTCTATTCACCAAAAATGATTGTAATTGACCCCCGCAACCAAAAATAATTTTTGCAAAACGATTTGCAATTTTTTTTTTTCGTCGAGAAATTTCATACCTTCTCGAATTTTTTTCTAAAAAGTGGGTACGATTTCGAAGGTATGTGTAATGACCAAAAATGATTGTAATTGATCCCCGTAACCGAAAATAATTTTTCCAGAACGATTTGAAATTTTTTTTTTCCGTCGAAAAATTTTATACCTACTCGAATTTTTTTCTAGAAAGTGGGTAGGATTTCGGGGATATGTCTATTCACCAAAAATGATTGTAATTGACCCCCGCGACCGAAAATAATTTTTGTAGAACGATTTGAAATTTTTTAATTTAATTGTTAATAACTTTTTAACGAAGCCTCCATCAACAAATTGGTATTCTTGATTTTCGTCTTATTTTGGCCTCTAGAATCTCCCATTAAAATTTTTCCCAGGTTTAGTCGAACACCCTGTATGTTAGTTAGGGGAATTCCCGAATATTACAGATGGTCGATTTTTAGTGTCAAATTTCATAGATGTCATTACATATATACATTTTGCTTGATATATTTGCTAATATTTGTGTTTCTTTTTATATAAAAACAAGTAACAATAAAAATGAAACATTATTATGTTAATTACAAAAATCTCATGTTCATATAATGCATCTTATGGCCAAAATTAAGAAAGCCAAATGTGGTGGACGATTTTCACTTGTGAGCCACTGTACATTGTACAATAACGCGAATAATTCAGACGCGAAACGTCGCTTTTTCAATTGTCCACGAATCTTATCGTGTTTTTCGAGCATGTTACGGGCACACGTAGCTAGCAAAATTATCTACGGTAATATTTTTTACGAAATTCCGCCCGAGCTAAATATTAAAACAGCAGATGGCAACGTTTGCACAGCGCGTTTGCGGAATTGAACGAACGTTCTCAACAATATCTCTGTTTTGACTCCCGTATTGCGGTCGTTTCCTGATATTCCCGTAGAAGCGGGAATCTGCGTACTTATTAATAAATTCTTACACTCTTTCGGCACGAAATTTTTACGTCATCATCAAGTTGAAATGGAGGTCGGAAGCTATTCGTCACCATTAAATATTCAATAGGGGAGAGCCCCGTAAGAGAAACGGCCCCCTTACGCGATGTATTCGTATTTATAGACCGCGCGCGACGCTTATTATTTATTTATTCTGTGTAAGATTTCCATACAAACAGGATTTATGTGCCGTCGCGTCTAAGAGCAACTATGAATACAGAAGGGCGTATCCTCGGTCACAGTTTTAAAAAAATCCATTCTTTTGTTCTGCATTTCTAAACATCTTTATTTACCAAATAAAATGCCAGTTGTGGATTGTTGTTCAGTTGAAAAATCTGGGTCTGCTAGTTCGCCAAACTGCTGTCTTGTCTTCACACACGTGTCGTTTGTGCAATGGACAACAATGTAAACACACTCGAGTCTATGTTTCATAAATTCTCAAGTCCACGTTTCATTCTAATGTTCTTGTATAATTCGTAACACGAAAGAAAATTCTGTTTAACCGTATTTGTGCTTGTTTGATGGCAGCATTCATCGAGGAGGGTTATCACAGTACAAACCCTTACCACAACAGTATACACGCGACGGATGTCACTCAGGCGATGCACTGTTTCCTTCAAGAAAAAAAAGTTAGTATTCCGATGTTCGATCATTAATGTACCGTTGACCCGATCGTAGAGAGGGATTTGAAGACGAAGTCTAGAAGATGAAATTGGAGAAATCACGTCATAAATTTACAGATCAGGACGCACTTAACGAACTTGGAGATCATGGCGTCGCTGATAGCCGCGGTGACGCACGATCTGGATCATCCAGGCGTCAATCAACCGTTCCTCGTTGCCACCAGCAATCATTTGGCCGCTCTCTATCAAGTGGGTAAACGACTTTCGAGAACATTTAATGAAATTTGCAAGGGACGTCTGGATGTTTCATCGTGTACGATTTTATCGATTGCAGAACAAGTCGGTTCTTGAGAATCATCATTGGAGGTCGGCCATTGGATGCCTCTTGGAGAGTGGCGTTTCGGACCAGTTGTCGGCCAGCGTTAGACCGGAACTTCAACAACACATCAGCTCGCTGATTTTGGCGACGGACATCACGCGGCAGCAAGAGTTCCTTGACCGATTCAAAGTGAGTCGCCGAACCACCCAGGTCATCGATATAAGATGTTTAAATCCAGGAAAGAAACGATCATAGATCATTTCATACTTCTAGGGACAACTATGCTATAGAATCTACGATACAAAATTGTCGTCTTCATCACCGTCATACAGAGTGTTCATGGGGGATTCTAGAGGCCAAACTAAGACGAAAAACAAGAATACTAATTTGTTGATGGAGGCTTCGTTAAAAATTTATCAACGTTTAAAGTTCCATCTGTATTGATTTTTTTTCTAGAAAGTGGATAGGATTTCGGGAGTAGGCCTATTCTCCAAATATTATTGTAATTAACCCCCGCAACCGAAAATAATTTTTCCAAAACGATTTGAAATTTTTTTTTTCGTTGAAAAACTTGTCCACCCTCCGGAATTTTTTTCTCGAAAGTGCGTAGGATTTTGGGGGTATGTGTATTCATAAAAAATGGTTGTATTTGACCACAGAACCTAGCAATAATTTTTTTAGAACGATTCGAAATTTTTTTTTCGCCGAAAAATTTGTCCGCCCTCCGGAATTTTTTTCTCGAAAGTGCGTAGGATTTCGGGGGTATGTGTATTCACCAAAAATGTTTGTATTTCACCCCAGAACCTAGGAATAATTTTTTTAGAACGATTCGAAATTTTTTTTTCGCTGAAAAATTTGTCCGGCCTCCTGAATTTTTTTCTCGAAAGTGCGTAGGATTTCGAGGGTATGTGTATTCACCAAAAACGGTTGTATTCGACCCCAGAACCTAGAAATAATTTTTTTAGAATGATTCGAAATTTTTTTTTCGCCGAGAAATTTAGGCATCTATCCCCGCTGTGCCAATTGTTCTTTAAAATTAGTTTTTCATTTTTAATAAATTTGTTTGACGCTGTACGGAAATTTTGACTAATAGTTTTTTGTAGATATTCGTGAATTTTACTTCAGAAAAAAATTTCATTCAAATATATTCGCTATTCCAGGAGTTATGGTCGTTTGAAAATTGGACCATTTTTACGGGGTTTTTCTCAACTTACGGGGTCAAGGAACAACTTTTTCAACATTGTTAGAATTTATACACATTCTTCGCCAAAATACGCGTTGTTTGCCTTTCGTAACATTAAAACCCCCCAATCCGTTCAGAAGTTATGACATTTTAAAGATTCGCATGAAACCTCTCATTATATTTTTGTTACGGAATTTTTTTCTCGAAAGTGCGTAGGATTTCGGGGGTACCTCTATTGACCAAAAATGATTGTAATTGACCCCCGCAACCGAAAATAATTTTTCCAGAACGATTTGAAATTTTTGAATTTAATTGTTAATAACTTTTTAACGAAGCCTCCATCAACAAATTGGTATTCTTGATTTTCGTCTTATTTTGGCCTCTAGAATCTCCCATTAAAATTTTTCCCAGGGTTGGCTGAACACCCTGCATAATAATTGCCGTTTAAAAATACTAGGTTGACCTTCGAATAACTTTGAAAACATATAAGAAATGAAAAATAGATAGGATAGTTATATTTCTACACATGGAACAGAGAAACTTTTTTATCAAACGCTTCTCTCAAAAATACATTGTCTTCCAAATATTTCGATCGTTGCTTTTCACATCGTTGGCAAACTAAAATCTGAAAATATAAAGAAATGAACCCTGTAAATCTATCTTTTCCCTTATGTAAAAGTCGAAATTTTAAGGGGGGAGGCTCATGTGATTGATAGAAAATTGAACCATTTTTCTTAATTTTTTTTAAGAAAATGTTACATCTGACGTTATGATTCTTTTTTGCAATTCACTTAACTATCCTTTGGGAATACAAGATAATTTTTGTATTAATTTTTATTAACTTTTAATGTCGTTATCACGTCCGCAGTAAACATGTGTTTAAACACTGGCGCAGGTGATTTCGACTTTTAAAAACAGCAGATGTCTCTTGACAGGGCTGTACAAAAAATGTTCTACAATCCCCAATACTTGACATTTATCTCTCAAAATTTAACAGTACATTCTTAAATATATATGTATACTTCCAATAAATGAAGCAAAAAAAAAATTGATGGTTTTGAGGTCTCACATGAGACTCCCCCCTTGAAAAAGTTCATCGTAAAAACTACCGACGATCGATTTTTCACGTGGACGTCCTTCGTTAATAAACGTTTGCCTGCTTCTTTTTCCTCCCCAGGAGTACCTGGACGAGAATCGTTTGGAGATGAAACGCGCGGACGATCGACATTTCATTCTCCAGATAGCGTTGAAATGCGCCGATATATCGAACCCGTGCAGACCGTGGGACATTTCGAGGAAGTGGTCGTACAAAGTATGCGAGGAATTCTTCCGGCAGGGCGATTACGAGCGCCGTCTGAACCTTCCGGTCACATCGTTGTGCGATCGACATACCACCAGCATACCGAAGATACAAGTCACGTTCTTCAAATTCGTTGTGACGCCTCTTTACGAGAAATGGCACCGTTTCCTAGGCGACGGTCTGAGCGTGTCGTTGATGGAACATCTGCTGGCCAATCAGAAGAAATGGGAGGCGTTGATCGTGCAGGAAGCGACCGAGGAAACGAAAACGGAGATCTCGGAGCTGGAGAAGGTGGACGACGCGCTGAGCTCGATCGGTGACCCGGCCGGGGACGAGGACACGAGGAGCATCGACTTGTTAATACCGTCGGCGTACAGCCAATCGTCGCGAATGCAATTCCTACCGGCGCGTACCGGCCTCGAGCGTGACGGGAGACGCCATTCCGTCCCATTGGGCGCCTCGAAACCGCTGGTCCTTCTGCCACGGACCACGATCCGGCGCGAGAGTCTGCCCAGCGAACGGACCAAGTCGAAGAATCTGTTGCTGAGGCTCGAGGATCAGAGCCTGCTGGATCCCAGCTCGTTGTCGTTGCTCTCGTCCAGGAGCAGCGTGCACGAATTGTCGCCGAGCACCACCGCCGAAAGGCCGGTCAGCGCCGAGAGTCTTCTGCCGGAACCGAGCATAGCCAGCATTACCAACAGTGCCGAAGCGTCCAGATTGAGCTCCGTTCTGCAGCCGGACATTCAGAGAGCAAGCTCGCAGAAACAGCTGACGAGGCAGCAAACCTTCCCGCCACTGCAGCCGTACGTTAGAATGAGATATTTGTCCACGACCGCCGAGATGTCGCAGTGTTATTCGCAGATCTTGATGGAGGCTGACAGTTCCAGCTCCTCCTCGTCCTCGATAAAAGAAAAATCCTGCTCGGACGGCCATTGTGATACACCCCCAACCAACGAGCTGGACTCGTCCCTGACAAAGCCTGGCAACGCGAAAATAACGAGGGAATCACTTTCCGTGGACGTGGCTGGTAAAAGGCGCGGTTCGATGATCGCGGATCCGTTGAAATCGAAATCCGACACTCTGACCGTCGAAGATCCGCGTCGTCATTCGATACAGACGATCCGTGTAGACGACGCGAGTTTCAAGAACCGTCACAAACGACCATTCTCCGCCCAAGACACCGATTCCACGCAGACGTTCTACGCGTCGTTGACCGGTTCACGCAGCGACAAGAAGATGGAGCCGGAGACGAACGTTGTGTCTGCGTTCAAAGGGAAAGAGGAGAGTGAGATATCGACGCGCCACGATCAACGGACTACAGTGCAATCGTATAAATCCGATCAGTGCAGTTCGACGATGCATATTATGAAACCGAAGTGCGTCGAGTCCGAATTGCGAAGATATTCGACGCCAGTACCAGAAATTAAGACAATAATGACCGATCCAAGTGGTAGACGATTCACCGCGATACCAGTGTCGTCCGAACTCAGCACTCATAAAGTGTTCTTTATTGGTAGCCCGCCGGATTCACCGCCTCTCATACAAAGCATATCCACGTCGAGCGACAGTGGCAGCGAACCGCGTAAAACTGTTGGTGAACATGAGATCGTTTCTACTGGTAGCAAACGGGACTCCGATCCCATCAAAGAGAAAAGCTCTAAGGTTGCTAAACTAAGCCTGGACATGCAAATGAAGGAAAACGTTGATCCACGCGCGATTGAAGATTCAAAGGGGATACCCTTGTCTCGAAAGGGCAGCCAGGTAAAGTCAGACAATTTTCTTTCGGTGTAGAACATTTGTTACCATGCAGTTTTTTTTGTTCTACAAAACTAATTAGTAGTTTTGAATCCATTTCTTAAACGCCTTTGGTTTGAACTTTATCGCATAGATAGGAGTCATTAAGAACAGTAAATGCAAACTTAGGAAAGACACGGTTAGAGAAAAATGTATTTTAAACATTTTCCATAAGTGAGAACTCTACAAAAATTGAAATGGTTGCTGATACAGAATAGTAAAATGAGACACAAGAATTTTTTGTTAAATTCACCCTTATGGAAAATGTGTTTTAAATATTTTTTACCGTTATTAACTTCAACGTGCTTCCAAGGATGAATTCTAGATAATTTAGAATAGCGGTGGTCTTCTACTCTAAGCATTAAAAAAAAATCGATTTTTGTTTCTTCGCATTTTCTTGCAGTTTTAGATGGTAAAAATATGCAAAGGAGAGGTTATGGTCACCGTGATGGTAAAACCAAATGGGTAGGTAAATAATAGCACATATACATGTAAAGGTGATATGTTATTTTATTTGTACGTTTTGTTTCAACGTCTCAATCATCACCTGCAGTCCCCCTCGATCATTCTCTATTTAACAACAGAATTGTTTATAACAAAACCCAAGTCCGTGTGACGAGTATTAATATAATGTTAATTATTTACCTACCTTTTTGGTAAAAACATGTTTCTGAATCGTTGAATTGAAATTTGAGAAATTGCAACGATTGAAAGGTAATACCATGCAAGTAAAGTCCAAGTGTAACTAAAATTGACTTTATGCAGTAGTTTTGTTCGTTACAAATTATTAATCGTTAAACAATTACTATATTTGTAACAGATACTTTTACATTTACAGTAGGATTAGAATATACATGCATCGATATGTATTAGGCATGACTCAGACTGAAAATGTTATAATTTTAAAACTTTTATACGTTCCATATATTAATTCTATTTAAAATTGTATTCATGTTTCATTAGTCATGGGCCAGAAGACGTGGATCTGCTCCAGTCGGTCTTTTATCTAGATTGGATGACATCACAACATCTACAAGAGTCGATCATACTTCTAGGCGTGGATCTGTGCCAACCGACATTACTAGGCAGCAAAGTACGACATTAGAATATAATAATAATAATTGATAATGGATATTGAAAGGATGCAGCAAATAAAAAAGTATGTATTGTATTGTTAGATGGAGGCTTCAATCGATTAGCTTTAGGACCTCGAGAGGGTTATATTGCAGCACCTAGGAGAGCGAGTCTTCCTCAAGAAACTGCTCTTGGAAATCTTCTTGGCAATATTTTATCTCTAACCAGTACGTATTCCCTGAAACTTCGCTATAAAAAAAATCACTTTGACCTAACGTTTTTACATTGGTTCGAAATTTTTAGATGAACGAGAGAATCTCCCAATAAACAATAACAACAATAATAACAATACCGGAACTACCAATAATAATGGAATCACAAGAATAATCGATAGCATCGGACCTAGCATGCCGTCTCCGCGACGAGGTTCAGTGCCAGCAGACATATCTGAATTACGCCGTGATATGTTCAATAGGAGTAGCATAAATGGTAAGCCTCGTAATCGGAAAAAGGTTTTGAGGAGGAGAAGTTCTGGAGGACCAGAAATGTTTTCTGGAGGATCCACAGATGGAAACGATAATGGCACATGGCTTAAATGGAAGAGGGAACTAGGAAAAAGGGACTCTATTCCTGAACCGCTCATCAAGCGAAGAGGTTCTCTGCCCATAGAGATGGTGGCCATTTCTCATGCTGGTCGGTACAATCATAGATAAAGGAGGATGTCGTAAAACAAGCCGGTACCATTGCGTTCTCCACTAATATTTATATCGAGAAATTGATTCACTAGCTTGTTCAGAAATTACTAGAGTCTATCGGATTAGCAGCATTTAGTAAACGTCCAGCACCAATTAGTAGCATTCTTAAAGACACAGATGTTAACGTTCTCAAAGTCGTGTACGTTCAGTAATGTTCGTAGAAGTAGGAGGCTGGTCGTCGATTGTATCTAACAAAATCACTGTGTATGCATAACAGGATCAGGAGCAGGAGCTCGAAGATCCAGTTTGTGGAGACTTTAGCATGGATTGGAAACAAGTGGACCGCACGTGCAACCAGCGGTTGATAATTAGATCATCAAATGCTACCGTACTAACAGTCTTTCCTTACAACTTTAGCAGCAACAGCGATGATTGACTTCCACGTTCCAAGATTGCCAAAACTGGAACTTCTTTTATCGACCATACTTGTGGGCAAGTGAATTTTGTAAAATTAATCAAGATTTCTACAATAATAATCGCAATACAAACAAAACGGTTGAAGCGATTTATTCGTCAGTCGCTCATAACTTCATTGTCATTGTCATAGTACTAAAGCGTATAGTAGAAGAATCAACTTAAGAAAAAAGAAAAGAGAACAAAAGTGGCTTATGTATATCATAACAATTGGCACAGAATACAAATTTAAGATTGGCAGATAGCGACATTAAATTTTACGACAGGGTTAACGTAGGGAAAGAAAAGAAAAAAATATGAATTCTAAAGTCTTCCCTGCAACTTACGCGTCCGCGTGGAAGAAATGAAATGTATACACACTAGTTATGTTCGCTATACACGGTGATTCTAAAAACTGGAACAAGCTGTAGATCTTCTCTAAGCAGATACAAGAAATAGTTAAATCTTACAATGGAGTCGTGCAACATATACAGGTATGATATGCACTTACACTTATTATTTAAATGAAACTATGTTTTTTTTTTTTAAATCATTCTCTTTGAGAAAAATAGAATATTCGGTACGATACATTTCTGTAGCACTTTATCTATTTTTATTACAGTTTACAAATTTTCTCATTAGTGCAGCCTATTATGATATATTTAAAACTAATTTAATTTAACAAATTAAATAAAATCGAATGAAATGTTTAGAAATTATTCAACATAATGTAAAGAAAATCTGAATGATTTCATGTGAAACATAAATATGAAATCATATTAGAAAAGAGCTGCAGTTCGTCCCAATTTTTGAAATCATGCTGTATTTCCATTTGTGCCATACACAGATGTTGTCGAAAACTTGACACAGTCAAACACAGGGTTCAATACGACGATTTTAATAATTAAAATGCCTAGGTACGGAGAAGGAGAAAAGACTGGTAGAGAAACACACCGCTATAAAACTAGACACTTTTAAAAAGGCACATAAATTGGTCGAAACGAAGTGACATTTGCTCATAGCTAGAAAAATTATTATTTGTTAAACAATTGGGGCAGGATAACGTTGTCTTAATTTAGTTAGTCATTTTCCACATCCGTCATCCTCATTAAATATTGTATTCGTTTCTGCATCCAACCTTGAGGCTGAAATTTCTTTATCTTTACCGAGAATGTTACGAATAAAAATGGAAGAAAAAAAAATTGAATTTATTATTAAGTTGGAAATAAGGAAAAGTAATAGCTATGAAACGTAACTCTGATAAAAATATACTCGATATCAGTAGTAGTTTCCTTTGAACTGTAATGAAAATCAAGATAGACATTCCATTAAAACAGATAGTAATAATACGTAGGACACGAATGAGAATTAATAATAATAACATTGTAATTATTGCTATTTATCATTATTCATTATAATATCATAATGATCATTATTGTCATCATCGTTGTTGTTATAGTTATAAATGAAATCTTAATGCCCGTTTAAGTAAGTAGACATAAACTTAGGCAGTAATAATACCTGCGTTTAATTACAAGGTTAATTAGTTAGTGAATTGCGTGGAATTATAACCATAATTGTTTATAATGAAAACAAAAGATGGTTCTGATGTATGGGTTTACGGTACGTGAACCAAAATCAATCAAAAGCAAAATTTGTTAATACTATCTCTTACAATATTAATTTAGTAATATGTATTTAATTAATAAACTTTGATTACGCAAAGTACAATTACTAAACTGCCTATGCACAAACATTTTATACAATGTGTATTCAAACATTGTCCTATTTTACTGTCAAATTTCAGTTGTTACAGGGTTATTATATAAAAACGTTTTAATAGCATTTTTTAATTATTTTTCTAAGAACAGAAAAGCAAGGAAAATTGATAATGACTATCACGTACTGCTACAACCTGTCGTCCCTCTGACTGTCAGAAAGTAAAGAAAATATTATTAAGCCATTGCAGTTCAGTAATGATATATAACAGATCTAAGTTTATAACTAATCAAAGTAATAATTGATATCTGTATCGACGTAATATAGATAGGTATCCATTTCCCAAGCAAAATGTTGCAAGCTTAGCAAACTTCCCCTGGTAAAATTTCCAGATCTTCTCGACGCAACAACTATCAGAGCTTTATGTGTGTTTCACTCAATGACCAGAAAAAGAAAGATGTAACAAGACCACCTTCAAAATAGATTTCAAATCTTTAAACATGAAATGCGAAAACAGTTCTTACGTTTTCCTATTTGTAATGCGGAGGAGCTCTGCATACATGACTTTATGGTATAAGTGTATTAACAACTAAGTTAGTATAAAACTACTAGTCTTTCTAACTCTTAATATAATCTGTATATATGTACGTTCGCATGTACATATATACATTTGACAAAGAAATGCACAGAAAATACCAAGGAACACATTGACGAAAGATATTGAGAACTTTTATTTATTTATACCTCTTGAAACACTTACCTTTACAGACAGACCAATAAAAATGGGACTAAACAGAATCTCTTTACGAAAATGATAATTGACATAGCTTCTGAAGTAAATTTGAACACAATATTATAAACGACCACTCTGTCCAACTACTTTTCGAAGAATTTATAACACCCAAATATACATGTTTCCCATAATGCCTCATTCCAATAGAGAGCAATTAATGTTCTTCGAAAATTCTTCTCTTCTGCCATCCTGTAGATATCGTGTAATTGTAATACACCATTTTCTATGATTGTAATATCTTGGGATGTGCAAAATTAATAAACCGATTCATTATTACTTTATAGGAATAGATGTAAAAGTAGGATATTTAACATACAATGCATCAAGCAGTGTTTACGCTCATGTGAATATTCATTTTTTTTTATGGAACAATGTTATGCTATTAAATTAGTGTGAAATGTTTAAACTGCTATAATGTTTTCCCTTCTTCTGTAAACTTCTGTTCTACGACTCTATGAGAAAGTATTCTTAAAAAATTTATATGAAATTCTAAAACGTTCAAAGAAATAATGTTTCTTTAAAACAATTATAACTTAAAATGCAAAGTTATATTTATATTAAATATACCTTTTGCGATCTCTATATTATTTTCTCTACGAATGATAATTTGGAAATCTAAATTACTATTATTATTATTATTATAGTACGTACAATACATACGCACATTTGATACCTTCAAATGATAAGGTTATTTATCATTTTCTGTTTTTATTTCTCATTACATACATAAAAATAACAAGTAATCTTAATGATTCATTTTTTCAACATCTATAAGATTAAAAAGTTAATAGTCAAGTTAAAAAAACATTAGATGTGATATTTCTGTTGAAAATAAACAAAAGAGTGAAACGAATGTTACAAAAGAAGTTATATCTTTCATTTCTTTAACGATATTTTCGATTAATTATTCTCTTCTTTACAACATTTAATGTCATAATTGTACATCGGCAAAAAAATTTTGCGTGTAATTCGCAGTATTGGAAATGTCAATTAACAAGTAACAATTCGTATATAATCGGTCTGACGATAAGAAAGTCGTTATGTATTTTCTATAATGTTACTGGTAGATAACTACTGCGTTAGAAACAATTAAATGATGTGTTCTTATCATTATTCGTAATTAAATTACAATATTGTTACAATAAACACGAGATGCGAAATAGTATGAACCGAATGCGTGCATGTGTGATAATAATAAGAATGCAAGCGTAGTCCAATCGATCGTCCTATTTATGGTGGATTGTATGAAGAAAATTAATATACATGTATTATGTATGTCGTGGCTCTACATGGCCTATTATATTCATTAGATCGGAATTACTATAGTTAATAATTATAGTGCCCAAATTTTCTTTCATTTTCATTTGGTTGTATCGACTATTTATTTTGTGAATGTACATGCAACTTAATCAATCATACGACAAAGCTCCCATTTATAAGTTTAGAATTGAATGATACGTGATGCGATATGTAAACCCGTCTTCTTTATTAAAAAAAACACACGAACATTATACGAGTATACCTTATTAATTTTCTTCTTTGCTGCCAACCCTTGTACCAAGTAGCATTAGTCACAAGAGTGTGTTATTAATTACGATGTTTTGAATATTCGCGCGACGCACGCTACCGACAGAGATACCAACTGTAAACACAACACAAACGTTGCGTCATATTGCGCACTGTGTCCGGAGTCGTGTGTCGCGAATCTCGTTTTCGAAAGAGCACGCACACACATGCCGCGTCGTGAAATCAAATCATCAACCCGGGAAACGAGAGCGCATAAATCGCGAACGGGAATTCTCAGTGTTCGTCAGATGCAATCGGTTTCGGCGCGTGTAGTTCCGTGCGTATCGCGTGACTGTCGTTTCACGTATCTGTGCGCGCTCGGTAGGTCAAAATGGCGTGAACCGACCGTGCGATTTTAGGTTATCTTCGCTCGTGGCAAATCACGGCAGATCCAGGAATAAAACGTGCGTCCGTGCGCGAGTGATATTCTTTCCTCCGAGTGAACACTGTGATACTCCACGTGCGTTTTTAGGCCCAAGTTACATGAGTTATGAGGACGGAATGCCCGCAGGCGGTAACAGTCGTTTCCGCGGTTACCCAGCGCGGATGTCCGAGCGACAACAGCTCGCACTCCTTCTCCAAATGACCTCTCAGGAAATAGTATCAGGTGAGACAGACAAGAACTCGGTCGTGACCGAACACACGCACAATTACGGTACCTCGGTGCAAAAAACACGTAATCGATCATCAAACGATACTCCCATTCGTATTTTCCTACGCGTGCATTTTTCTATCGACGTAGTGGTTCCAACATATTCGAATCGGTTATTTATTCCATATTCGCACAGATTTACATAGCTGACAATAAAATTCACTACGACGTGACATTGCGTGCTACCTATCGTACACTAGGTTAGTCCGAGAAATATACCGAACGTGATCCCTAAATTGATCCAGTGTCGTGCATTTTATTTATTTATTGATACACGAACAAGCGACACTCGCAAATTAACGCGACTTTTCTGCCTCGATCAGCCGCATTAGTTTCCCGCTGTATGTATTTGTTTTATCGAAACAAGCTGCAACGCGAAATCTAGAGCTAGTTACTTCGTGCGAGCGAGTGTTTGCCCGCCTGTATTTCACCCTCAGGCCTACCAACCACGCGACTGCCCGATCGTCGACGTTCCCGCGATGCCGCGTTGAATGGCGCATGCCGACTTGACAACAAAAGGAAGGGGCAATGTTAATATAAGTAATTGACGCGTGTTCGAGTTCCCGCCACGGGAGAATTATCCTGACAGCGGGACCGATTGCTGGTAACTCGTTGCAATTGCAATTTGCATCAGGAGGCGTACATACCACGGCGTGTTCCCGTAGTGTTACTTATCAATAGCATTGCTTTGTATTTCATATTCACACGTGGGCATACATAACACTACATAACTACCTACTTAACAATTCAAAATACATACGCACATTTTATTAAAAGGTGCCTTTCGACCAATGAAAAAATTTCATATAAAAACGTTTGCATGTAAGTACATGCTACTCGAAATAGGCCATGTAATTATTTATCACATTTAGTTACGATGATACGAAAAATTATTTCATGTACAATTTGTATAATCTCAGAGGGTGAATATGTTACAAGAAACATTTTCTTTACAGTGCTTTTTTTTATTTAATTTAGTTTCAAGGATATTTTCTACATTATTATAATGATTGAATGCAAAAATACACACGCATTTGTATGTAAAATAATATCGGTAACCTTAGCCCCTCTCCCAGGAAGTATTGGTTAACAAATTGTTTGATGACATATTTCAGCTTTACATATTATACCTCTCAGAATTGTATTACCTATGCAATATTTTTCTTGTATCGTTACAATAAAAAACTATAATTAAGTAGATTGTTTTAAGTGGAAAATCCTGTATATCGAAGTTCTATTATGTACTTCTGCGTACTGTCCAAGTAAACAGTTACATTACGAAGATATTCTAATCAGATTGCAACTTAGCAGACTTCCCTCGTACATTTTCACATTCTAACGATGACGTATTTATTTATGGCAATAAATCGAAAACTTCCCTCGCGAATAAGTTATGAAAATGCATTTTGTACGTCTTCAGGTGGCAATCGAACAGAAAACACAAGCACCGCGTCAAAGCCTTCGACGTTGCAACGAGGATCGAAGGGTCGCTGGACAAGCAAAAATGGCGAATCGGCGGTCCAAGCGCCTATTAATCGCAAAGAAGATTTTCGCGTGCGGCAGATGCTCGTGAATGGATACGAACTGAATACTAAAGAAGCGAATGGTAAGTTATTTCACTATTTTTAAATTTCTTTCTTTACATTTTTTACGTGCGATACAGTAGTGCCCACATAAGTGACCGTAGTTTTGCCCACTTAAGTGATCATGGTTATCCCCACCAATTATTAGAAGCGTAGCGGCTTCGAACATCGAGCGTGTCGAGCGCAACTAGACACCGGTCGTTATCAATACATTGTATACAGTAGTGCCCACATAAGTGACTGAATTTTTGCCCACTTAAGTGACCACGGTTATCCCCACCAATTATTAGAAGCCAAGCGGCTTCGAACGTCAAGCGCAACTAGATACCGGTCGTTATCGATACATTGTATACAGTAGTGCCCACATAAATGACCGAATTTTTGCCCACTTAAATGACCACGGTTATCCTCATCAATTCTTGGGAAAAATTTTAATGGTAGATTCTAGATGCCCAAATAAGACGAAAATCAAGAATGCCAATTTGTTGAATGAGGCTTTGTTAAAAAGTTATTAACGTTTAAATTTTCACCTGTAGATTTCCAACCTGCATACAGCTGCGTGCGGGCGATAGAGGTTCTCACTCAGCATGAGAAACTCTACTTAGTGACGTATCGACCGCCTCACAGTTTTCTGAGTGAGAACCACTATCACGCGTGCGCAGCTGTTCGCAGATTGTCGTTCTACAGGCGGAACTTTAAACGTTAATAACTTTTTAACGAAACCTAGATCAACAAATTGGTATTTTTTATTTTCGTCTTATTTTGGCCTCTAGAATCTTCCATTACCATGCCCACATAAGTGACCGTGACCAGTCTCGAATGTGGGCATACTGCATATGGTTTCGGGTGCCATATTATTCTCTTTCCTTATCTCCGTTGAATTCTGAAAACTAACCATGCCCACATAAGTGACCGCTGCCGTTCCCGACTGTGGTCACTTATGTGGGCACTACTGTAGTTGTATTGAATTTTTTGGTGACATGGTCGCCTGAAATAGAGTGAAAAAGTCTTCGTACACGAGTATGAAATTTATTTAACATAATTTTATTAGTATTTGCGTGACGTTCTTTCGTAATGCAATCACACGTGATTAAAGTGCAATTCTTAATCTTCAAAACGACACAGAAGTAAATAAACGCAAATCTTTTTCCTTTAAGTAAGTAGGGCATAATTATTCTATAATCTTTCATTTGATAAATTTTGTGATACGTTTCATGAATAATATCGTTATAAGATTGGCGGTTGTTTATGTTTTCACTTCACTTTCGCTTTCTAAATACGTGTCCGTTTTCAACGTGAATGTAATTACAAATTTTCTTTCAACCGAAAGACAGCATTCCATGGGGTCGGTCACCTCTGGTTCTTGTATATAGCGGAGATACTCATCGATAAATGAAAGCGACGGTGCACGACCTTCCTAAACGCAGGAAGTCAGCGGGTCCCGGGTTCATTCATATACAATCCACCTCCGTTCCTCGGTTACCCTTTCTCCGGCCCGTTTCGTCCCATTACTCTTCAAGGTCGAAGAAACAAATCAAACTTATAGTATCTTTTTTTTTTTTGTCAGTCGGTCTTGAACTATTAAAAAACATACACACCAACGTGCA